TTTGGGCTAGCTTTTTTTCTTCTCTGCTTCACTTCTCTTCCTTGATAAGCTTTAATTTCCTCAGGAAGCAAATGCATTTATTTTTGCATAAAAAGAATCCAAATTGTGCTGTAGCTAAGCTGAGAATTCAGAACCAAGTACGGAGTTTACCAGTCTAGCAGTTCAATATTTTAATGGTTAAATGTAGACATAACAATCCAGGATAATAAAGACTTTAAACTTGCAATACAAAAAAAAAAATTATTAAACCTAAACAAAGATTGATTTTGCATTTTGTTGTGCAAAAATCTGATACATTCACATAGAAAAAGACAATAAATCCCATAAAATCCCACCTCTTCTTTAATTCCCTCTTTTCTTGCCTGTACCCTTAAGTCTGGCTGGGAGTTACAGTTGTATTGTATTCTTAGATACAATTTCAGGTTGTTTGCATCAGCTGTGTTAAGGTTGTCACAGCAACCCAAGGCAAGAATTGACTTGCTTTTGCAGATTCTAGCTTCTAACCAAGAGTTGCTGCCAATAAGGAGAGGCTAAACTTTGTGGAACTTTATACAAGACACATGTCTGTTAATTCTTCCTGCTGTTATTGACCTTCCCGCTTTAAGTGCTCCAAATCAGCCATTTCACTGCAGCTAATGTAACAGCTTACTCAGTTGGCTGCAAATAATATTTACTCAGCTGGGTGAAATGCACAGCTCAAAGACCAAATTAGTTTGTGAAATGTTATCCGAAGATACTTTCCTGTTCCCTAGATGTTTGATACAAAAGCAGAGACTAATGAGTCCCAAAGGCCTGAATCCCAGTCTCTTATTCTCCTCTTCTAGCTCAATTAATGACTTTTTTTTCCAGTTTATTTTTAGGACCTGTAAAATTCAGAAATGCACATGTTTATTCAAATTCCATGTAGACTAGAAGAATAAATATTATAGCTCTGTGTATTTATTTTCAATAAAATAAAACAACTAAAAATTGTATCTTGTAGTTTTCCATTCAGTAATCACACAGCAAAAATTTTGGGCTTAACTTTGCTGCTCATAGTTAGCTTTTCTTTAACCTGCATGTCTGGGTTGTACTCGTACAGCTCTGTTCTCTATGTGTGCAAGAACCTGATACTGACTCAGCTAAATTCATTTGCTCCTCTAAGGCAGCAACAGAAAGAGTAAACGGCAAAGGTTTTCCTAGAAGTGTAAAGATGCTTAGTTGTAAATGAGAATCTTACCCTCTGTTCTGGTACAGATGACTTTATTTCACAAGGAGCATCCATATAAAGGAATTCAAAATGGTACAGCTGGCAAATTCTTCAAATGAAATCTAATTTCCTCACAGAAAGAGGTCATGGTCTTTGTAGCCCTCATAGTTTAAAAGCAGAAACTGACTTCACCAAATTTCTTTTCAAAAAAAGCCCTACTGGAATTACTTTTTAAACTCGCTTTGCTCTTTGGTGGTCTGATTGATTTTGGGGTTTTTTTGAGGGGTTGTACACTGGAAGTGATTGAGTCACTAGCACATATGCAAGAGAAAAATGTTATATCTATACTTATGCATATACATGTACACTTGCTTTCCCTTAAAGATGGCACATTGACATTTATTTTCATTTTAGGTGGGCTTATTGCCTGTATTCATCTCTTCCATCTGTGATGTGATCCAAAGATTGCAGTGTGTCCTGTGTTGCCTTCTGATACAAGTCAGGCGGCCTGGTTTCAGGAAACAGCACGGCGACCCTCTTCCCCAGGGTCGCTCGGGCCTAAGAAACACGCGGACACCAATGTGGTGGAGGATCAAAGGCCTTTATTCTCTCTTCTCGTGGGGTTTTGTAGTCTAGGGGGCTTCTACGTCAGGTGAGGGTCTGTCCTTACCATCTATGGTTAGTAGGGAAGGAAAGTTACTTGGGCAAGTGGAAAGTTACTGGCATCTGGTTCAGGGGGCTACATTCCTATGTTAATTTTCTTATCTAAGGGAACAGGGGCCCTGTCTTCCCATAACATCACGAGATCTTCCGAAAGCCAGGCCCTATCTGCTACAGTCCTGAACCATTCCACTGTCTAGAGCAAATCATGCGCTGATCTGGGAGATCTTAAAGCCTTTCATCTTGTAGATACTGTAGCAGAAAAGAGCTATTAGGTGACAGATGGTGAGTTTTTACTTAAAAACCATATTTTTTTAATTCTAGGATTTTTCTCTGCAGTTTAATTGTACGGAACAAGAAACTTATTTTTCTTACAAAGTATTATTATTTTTATGTAAAAAAAGATTTCCCATAAGGTCTGTCTTCTGTACAAATATGTTCTGCAGCTGTTTTTCCCACATTAAGACAGATTTGACAGTTTTCTGTCTCTTGATCAATGGTACTCATACTACAATAAGGTCACAGTGGTATCTGGAGAGACCCTGAGGGATCCTAATGAGATGACAGAATTTGCAGTAAATAAGAAGGAACTATTCTGTTTTCTTTGCTTTAGAAAAACAGAATATTTTGAAAATAAAATGTTTATGCGCAGATTGGATGGGAATGGATACAAATTTGCAGTCTTTAGTCCTCTGAATTTAAGTGAACAATGGAATTCTAATTGCTGGATATTTTTATTTGAACAATGTAATTTACAAATTTTTAAAGAAAAAATGGATTATTGTACAGGCACCCAAAATCTTGATCATGAGAATTCATCAACTGGAGATAGTGAAAGGCCCACACCAGCAATGAGGCATTGGGTGCATCTCACCCTTGATGTAAAAAAGAAAGATAAAGTAAGTGCTGTGCACTAATGCAAACTATGTGCTTTTCAGTCATTACAGTATATGAAACTTTCTTGACAGAAGTTTAGCTCAAGTGGAAATATTTGTTTTTGCTATTGGACCATTGACAGTACACAAGCTTGCTGGCTTAAAACTGGTATTTCCACACAGCACTCTGACCGCATCATATTCTCTGACTGAGGTTTAGAGGTAACTTTGGCCTCCTCCCAAAGCTATGTGTCTTTGAGTACCTTAGTAGCCCATTCCTTGAAACCAGTCCAGTCTGGATGAGGGTCTCTTGAACACAAATGTGTGGAATGTCAAAAAACATTCTTGAGAACTACAGCTATGATGATATTAATATGTTCCCACTTTCGCTGAAGATGTTTCTACTATAATAACATCCACATTTTCATGGCTGCATCCTTATGAGACTTTATATTACTTTGTTCTTTCCTGGTATCAACATATTGTTTAAAGAAAAAACTCCTTAGCAAAATATTAATGAGTTTTTATCCTAGTGTTAACAAGTTTAATGATTCTGCTTTAATGATTCTGCTTTAATGATTCTGCTTGAATATCCTTGAGGTTATTCAAATCTTTCTTTTTTAGTTCATTCTTATTCTGCATTGGCATACAGCTGTGTTCTACTGGAAGAGTTCATTAACACTTTTCCAAACTTCATGTTGCAGTCAGCAATGAAAAAATTAGGCAGTTTTAAGAACAAAATAAATGTTTACTGAGCCAGACTAGAGACCTAGCCCAGTGTTATGCCTTGGGCAGTGGCAGTAGGAGATATCATTTAGTGAGTGCACTTTAACACTTCCTGAGGTCCGTGACAGGACCAAAACTAATTATTCAAGGTCCTCTCCTCATTCTTGTCTAAAAAAACAAGTCTTTCAGCTTTCACCTTAACTCTACCCCATCTGAAAGTAGAAAAGTATTGACTCCCTTTTCCACATAATTTATGTCATACTGGATCCCACATTTTCCAATACACCTTCACCTTTTTTTTCTTTTGATACGTGCACACAGATATCATTCCTCTAGTCTATGAATCATCCCTACAAAGCCCATGGAATTCCTTTAGTTGATGACTTTGCACTCCATATGTAATACCACTCTGTCAGGTCAGAAAAGATGGAATGAGCTGCTGGATTGTGGCATACTACAGGCAGTTCTGATTCTATCAGAATGCAATTTGATGTGGTTGCCTGGTTCCATCAAGGTTTCAGTATTTTTTTTCATTAAATACATCTTGTGAGCTTACACCCAGATTTTGGGTGCTTAAGATGAAAATGAAGCTTGCATTCTTCTATCACTCTTTCTTCTAAGAGTATTCTCTCCTGTTGTGGTGTCTTTTAATCAATTTCAATTTATAGAAAATTTACTGAGGATCTGATGTGTTTTTAAAAATCACAGCTAGGCCTTAGAGAGACGACAAAACAATCCAGCCCCTCTGGAGAAGACATCCCCTGTCACTGGGGAAATCTGTGATTGTACAAGGGTCGCAGTGGTCACTAAAATTAATGAAGCTCAGCTCTGCTTTCTTCATGTTCTGCTCTAAGTTACTTCTCTTCAACCCAAAAAGACTTAGAAAATTGAAAGACACCACCACAGGTAATAAAATTATTTTCTACTTTATCCACAATATTTTGTGGTAAAAATGGAAATTTTACATAGAGTTGAGTCCTTCAGCTTCTGCAAGACCAGGCCAAATGCCCACATGTCATGAATGGGGCTGGTCAGCAGACCAGCAGACAGAGAAGTAGAAAACATTCCTGCTTGTATACTGCTTGCATACTGTGTTACTTTAGTAACACAGCAATTTACTCTCATCATTTTTCTCCCAGCAACTTCACTATCATACACAATCCTCCTACTCTAAAATATATTAAAAAACCCAGGAAACTCGATCCTTTTATGGTGCAGTTCATAGAGACTGTTACACAAAATTCTAGTTCCAAAAGACTTTTTATTTACCAAGAATTGCTCTGCTAACTTCTATCAAACTTAAACTTTGCTTTGGCTTTCTCAGCTTGGCTGCAATTCAAACTATTGGACAGGTGGACTCAATTCAAACTGGCTTGTAGCAAGTAGTTCCCCATAATTCCCCCAGTTAAATGCCATTATTCAGCAGATAACATTTTTTAAATTTTTTTAAAAATTGTAGAGTTTGTTGAAAATTGATTGCAAATATTCAATTTCTATCAGCCCCTAACATATGATCAGCAAGTGTCTTTACATCTTCACACAGGCCTGAACAAAACAAAAGGGACGTTAATTCTTCCCTGCTTGTGGGCATGACTGTTACTGGATTCAAAAACCTCCTGAGGAACTTCAACATATACAATTCCATGGGACCCAAACAGATGCATCTTGGGGGCCTGAGGGAACTGGCTGATGTAGTTAACTCACCCATTCTCCGTCATATTTCAAAAAGTTGTGACTCTCAAGCAAATTCTCCAGTGACTAGGAGTAAGTGAAGCACCATAGCTATTTTTAAAAAGGGTAAAAATGGCTGGTTGGAACATTTTGCAAGGGCCTATGGGGTGATAGAACAAGGGGGAATGGCCTTAATCATGGAATTGTAGCATGGTTTGGGTGGGAAGGGAACTAAAAGATCCTCTAGTTCCAAACCCACTTCCTTGGGCAGGGACACCCTGCCCAGACCAGGGTGCTCAAAGTCTTATCCAACCTGGCTTTGAACACTTCCAGGGATGGGGCACCTACAACCTCCCTGAGCAACCTGTTCCTGTGCCACACGACCCTCACAGTAAAAAAATTTCTTCTGGACATCTAACCTAAATTTTCTCTCTTTCAGTTTGTACCCATTACTCCTTGTCCTGTCACTGCAGTTCCTGAAGAAGGATCCCTCTCTGGCTTCCCTGTAGATCTCCTTCATATACTGGAAGGTTTCTATGAAGTCTCTGCACAACCTCCTCTTCTCCAGGCTAAACAGTCCCAGCTTTCTCAGCCTTTCGTCATAGGAGAGGTCCTCCATTTTCATCTTTTTTACGTATATGTTAATATATTGGTATTTCTCTGATAATTATACATTATTATAATTTATTTATATATATATTATATATATATATATATATATATATATATAATTATAATATATAGAGAGAGATATAGGTTCATATGGGTATAAATTCATATATATTAAAATGCAGTCCATTGGCTCATTGTTCCAGAAGAGAAACTACTTATTAATTGGCACATTTCCTTATGGAGGCAAGTTCTAGCAGCTGGATAAATCTTTCTGAGGTTTGGTTTATATCATAACTGGTATTTTTCAGAAAATATCTTCTTCAATTTACCCACAGGGAAAAAAAGTATCTCTTTTTATTCCACTCTATTCACTCCAAATTTCAGAATTTGAACCTTATCGTATCCAGATGTGTCATAGTCAGATAAACTGATCTGAAATGGTTTCTTTAAATCTTTATTACTTTTTTTTCCTCCTCCATGATGTGATTTCACTTAGCTCAGATTGTCCATCAGTTTCATAACATTTTTGTTAATAATAGCCTTATGGAAAATAAGAGTTAAAAGAAACATTTGATTCACTTACCTGATCTGCCTGGAAAGAGACAACATTTATCAGTTCATATCACAGTTAGTTATTGGCTTTTGGTAGAGTGGCATTTTGTGGTAGTTGCTAGAGCTGTCTTTACAAAAGCAACTTCTTTCTTTTTTTCTTGTGGAGGCTTTTTTTCCTTAATTAGTCTTCATTAATTTTAAAAAGGAGCTTAATGCAGTGTATGTGAGGCCTCAGCTGTGGTTATAGGAGACAGTTAGAAAAGGATTGATAATTGCATGCTTTTTTCATTTCACTGCTGCTGAAGGTGAAAAGCTGTAACTTCTAATATCTGGTCATAGGAAATTCTTGATGGATACCTTTGATTTTGCTGCATGAATCTTCATTAACCTAGTATCTGTTGACATACTGTGAGTCTGGCACTGAAAAATTTGAACGTACTTCTTTATCAGGCACCTTCAGCAGCGCTCAAAATCCTTCCTGAGACAGACTAGATCTTTCCTACTTTTGTTAGCTTCCTTTTGTATTCAGATTTCTAGAGGAAACTACAAAGGCAAGGCATTTGAAAGACATGAAGTGTGTGCTAGGGGCATATACGTGTAGATTTAGAGTAAATTGAAATTGGCTGTGAGAAGTTAAGTCATGAACTAACAACATTAGAATGAATGCTGCAGTTCTAGCAGGAACACTCAGTGTTTATCATCTTGATTATGTCTGTGTGAGGTTTGACAAATATGTCTCTTCATCACTACGTAGTTTCTCCTTATGTCATGGTAGGTTATCTATCTCCATTGCACCTAGAGTACTGGAATACATAACTAGGAACACCCAATACCACTCCATAAATTAATTAACTGTCAGCTGAAATGTGAAATTGGGCAATAAAAATGATTGAATTGCAAATTTTGATGCATTCTCTCTCTGCTTTCCACACCAGAATCTTTGTTAGGGACTTCTAATTCGCTTTAATTTTCCTCTGGAAGGGGGAGGGAAGTGGGAGGTTACACTTCAGTTTCTGTTTTGCCATGGGGCTCATCATACTAAAATCAAGTGGGTGATTTCAGTAGAAAACTCTTTGATTATGCAACATGAAATAATGTAACAGTACAATTGCTTCAAGTTCATGGAATTATTTTAATTAATCCATGGTAATACTAACCTTCAATGTGTTCAAAAAAACAACAATGATTTTATGCAAATTAGGCAAATGACATTGAAAATGTTCTTATATATAATCTGATTTCTCTCCCTAGGCATTCTGGAGTCCATTGTTGCCTGAAATGCTGTGACTACAGGACTAGCAGAATGAAGCTCAGGTTATTCATAAGGATCAGCCAAAGAGTACAAGAGTGATGCTATTGTGATTAAACTAAAAACAAGTCAAAAAGTGTGAAAAGGTTGTATGGAAACCAGTAGCAATTTTTTGAGGTTTACAGATAATTTCTCTGGTATTTGCTAACTATAGTGAGGTTGGAGATATAGCTGCTCTTTGTAAAGCTGAAATTTTAAGATGAAACAATAAGATCCAGTTTTTTCTGGGAAAATAATAAAGAAGACAAGGACATCCCAGCAGATTAAATAAAGCAGCTATGATACACATCCTGTGGCAAGAGAGAGCGAATTCAGCATGAAGACTCTTGTATTTCTTACATTCTCTCAAGGAGATCTATTCCTTTCTGGAAAGAGTGTGGTGCTACTGCTGGAGCATGCAGTGCCATGGCATTGGAGTTTTTTTGGAGATCCTTGGAGTAGCAGCACAAAAATTATGTACATAGGTAATGCTACTTCTGTGCCAGTAGTGCTTTTTTATACAGCTAAACCTCCTGACATGTAACATAAGAGAGCACAAAAAGGTACAGAGTGAAACTACAAGCCATTTCTAATTCGTGTTGTTATCATAAAGACAGAATATTTGACAGGAAAGGAGCCAGCTGAAACTACTCAGCGCCCATGAGCATCACTATTTATTAAGCTAACACTTTTCTCATTCACTGCCATGTATAAAAAAAAATGCATATATTAATGTCAAAAAAAACATTCCATCTGTTATCGGGGATTTTTTTGCAAGTATTTGAATGCCTGTGGCATTGCAAAAATGTATTATGTTTTATAAATACGATTATTGTTTCATGCAGAGGACAGTGGAAAGGCTACCATTTTGCTTGAGGCTACCAAATACTGCTTTCTGTGTTATAATTCACAGCATTTTGAAGTAATGATGACATTTAGCTTTGGAATATATTTTCCTTTAGGTGACCAGAATTTTTATGGTGTGCTTGGCAGATGCTACTATAAGAAAAGCAAAAGCAATGATCACCTTGTGATTTATTTTTGCTACAGGTGAACCCTGTAATTTAGCTCTTGTCAGCATGCAAATTAATGTTGTCTTATGCTGTTTACCTCACTTTGATAGCACTAATGTGATTGCTTATGCACCTTCTGTTTCATGGACTTGAAGTGCTCATTTGAGGCTCATCAGCAATAAGCTATCTTTGGTGACAGCAACTGTAAATGCACTCTGGGGAAACGGATTTAAGAAACTAGAGCTTTTCAAGGTAAAGGTTTTGTGGTGTTTCATTCCAATCCTCTGTGAATTCATCAGAATCCTATTTAAAGACTACTCTGTGCAAAATTTGTGGGCTGCTACCTCTCAAGTTAATGCTCATATTGCTGCAAACAAATATGGCCTTGGGAAGAGTGAAACAAAATATTTGCCAGGGATTCAACATCTAGCAAAAAAAGCCCCAAGCCTGTGCTAGAGAAGCTCATTTAGAGAGCAACAAAAATATCCATCACTTTGCACTATGAAATCCATTACATTTAAAATTGTGTTTAAAAATTCAATTTTGGATATTGTTAAGGTTTTCTTACTGAAAGGCAATGAGCTTCTCTCAATCTTCAGACACTCACCTTTCTAATCAAAAGAATTTTTATTTTTTTCCATTAGGATCATTCTCTCTCTCTTTGTCCCTTTTCTTTTAGTTTTAATTTTAGGTCTGAAGCTATGGATGGCCAGGATATCCGTTGGCTTAGCCCTGGTCTCTAGGAGGGATGGTGTTCCACTGCCTCCTCTACATGTTGCTGATGGAATGAGTGGTGCTGAACAGTTTTGCATTTGATCCAATGTTAGTCAGTATTCAGAAGATTCTGTTTATCACAAAATTCTAAAATTCTGAGTATTTCCTAACTTTTCTGGGGAAATGAAGTGTATATTGAAGGGTTTTTTGTTATTGTTGTTGCTTTTTTTAAAAAAAATTAATTTAATATTTAAATCAAATCTTTAAAAGGAAAGATCAAATTTTTGAGCATGCTGTGTGCCAGTTAGGGCAGCCTACTGGTGTTGTCTGGAGCTGGGAGTCCTGATACCATGAGGAACAACAAATGAGTGAGGGGCCTTGCAACCCCGGCTTAATCCCAAAGATGTTCAGCCTTCTGCTTCCTCAAATTGGGAGGGGAAGCCATCTTGGTCGGGGTTTTGTGAGTCTCCCAGACACCTTGCTAAACAGCTCCTCTAATATCAGCCTTCCAAGCCCTGTGGCAGTTGGGGTTTTGGCACAAAGGCAGCAGAAACTTGTGATTTCCCACAGGAGGGCATGGCACATTGTGGGACTGCTCTGGAAGCAGGGAAAGCCATGCCAGCCAGCATCTGTGAGGCAATGCACTGGAAGAAGCTGTGACAGATTTCCAGCCAAACTTTGCATGTAGTTCAGTGAGAGCTTTTGGGAATCATTGTTTTGAACAAACTAGCCTCTTCCATGCATCACAGAAACTGTGAAGAAATTCTCCACCAGCTGTTGTAGATCAGAGACCTCTTTTAAGTCCCACAGGTTTGGACTTGTCATCACTTTTGTTTGAGGTTCACCCAGGCTACATGGCTGTGGGAAAAACATTCAGTAGTGCTATATCATCAGTCAGTGGTGGAAAATAAGTGGTTTTATGGAAAAAAAATAAATTTCACTGAAGTGAGACTGGAGAAGATACAAGTGACTGAGCACTTTGGAAGGCTGGGACTCTGGCATTTTGAAAATTCTGCTTTCTGCCTCATTTGTATTGGACCCAGATGGTGTGGCTGATGTTTTCCAGTTTCTAGCCAATTCAGGGACTTAGTAGAAATCTGCCGTTTGTTTAAACCGTAAGGAGAGCAAATGATACATCATGCAGAGGGAGCAGCGCACTGAACACTTGGCAGGTTATTCCTCTGCCTCTTTTATTCTGGAATTGACCCACATTATTTTCTAAGAAAATTGCATCTTGAGGTGAAGTCAGTCCTTCCTGCTCCTGGAGCTGCAGAAGGTCAAGAATCAAAAGCGCCGCTTAGCTGAGGCACATGACCAAGTGCGTGCTTGACCTCTCCTCTGGGGGCACCCAAAACCAGAGCAATGCTTATTTTGGATGTTCCACTGTGTTACGGCAGCAGACAAGCATGTTTTCAAAATAGCTGGAAACTGACTATTTCATTTATCTGCATTTCTAAAAGGAGCATGTATCATATTTATTTCCTCCCTCATATAGATAAAAATTCATATCTAAGTTTTTCCTGATGGTAGAGTCTAACTCATTCCCTATTGATCACAAGGTCAAAGGCAGTGCATAAGATAGGTCTCACCAATAAGTTAATAAATCACAAGATTTGGGACATACAATATCCACAGGTACTCCTAAAACACAGTGATAGGATGAGATTTATGGTGTTAAATGATCAAATCTGTCTTTCCTGCATGACTGGGGACATTTCTTACAAAGTGTAGATCTTGTTAGCTTGGGTCCAACAGTCAATGACAGCTTTAGCATTTATGGAAGCTATGGGACAGAAGGCAATATTTGGTCTATGTTATTTGGAAATAACTTGTATACAGTGTATAAATAAGAAAAGTGTCCTTCTTAGACTCCATCTAATCCAATCCGTGTTTGTCTTTCTAAATGTGTTTGTAGCAGACAAAACCCATATAAAAGACTATGGGATATTGGCTTCAGCTTAGGTAGTAAGGAAACCTGGTTGCTTAAATTTAGCCAGTCCAGTAATGTTTCAGACATTCCTTATTTTTGCAGTGAGAAATCCTAATCAAAATCCTGGAGCTTTTATTCAATTAACCAATCATTTTCTATGTGGTTAACTTTAGATTAGCTGCTTCGATACATCCAAACAAAAAGGTTTCCAAATAAACCATGATTGTTCCAACTGTAAATGCAGTAAAACCTTATGTAAACTGAATCCAGAATAATTTAGCATTTTTTTTTTAATAAGAGGCTGTGAAGACCATACTGCCACTTAATTAATAGAACAATTTCTTAAATTTTAGCACTGAAAACATAGAAGATACTAATGGATCAATTTAAAGCCAGAAATACAGGCAATGTGAAGTGACCATTTCTACATTTGTTGAAGACTCTTCAATAGCACTTCAGATTTAATTTACCTCCAGTATTAAATTTTCAGTTAAAGTTAATTAAAAACTGCCAAAAATAATACTAAACAAAGTACTTCTGCATGCTCCTTTCCTATGGCTGTATACATTTGAAGCATCAGTGAAAAATCAAATAAAAAAAATAGGTCTATTATTGTTCAAGGACCCAGACCTAGAAGATTTCCCTTTGGCATGTGCTTTTTGGTTTTTGGAATCTTTTAGGAGGAGCTATACTTGAAGAGACTTAAAAAAAATCTTAACGTTGCTCTGAGTGTCTGTGAGTGTTAAAAGACTGACCTACATGGGCAGTGATTGTTTCCCCTTAATCAAGCTGAGGAATATAATGTTAATTCACTCCCTGAAGGCTTGCACTCTGCTGGGAGCCCAGCAGATGTGACTTGTGAGGGGAAGACCCTTCTTTCTGACCGCAGAAGAGGTGCAGGGAGATTACAACACATCACATATGCCATTCCTGTTCATGTCAGCCTAGTGGGAAAACAGATGATAACCATCAAGATGTATGGATTTTGAAATGCATTTCAAACAAATTCAGGCAGAAAATAAGCAGCAACCCTGCCTAAGATTTGTGGAGTCTGAAGTACATGTGGTTCTGAAGCAAAGGGTCACCCTGTAACAGCTGTAACTCCTCAGTAATATAAAAGTAGACTGGCTTGTCAGACATAGTCAACAGACACTGAAAAGACATGAAGCCTCAATAGGCAGAATCTTTTGTCCTTTCTGTTATAAACATCTGATTATGGCCACACCACCTGAGAGCTCAAATTTGGGGGCTTGTAAGTATGTAGAAGCCTCTGAGAGAGTGAGGCTGAATGGGTAAAATTAACCCACCTAGAAATTTCAGAAAATGTAATCACCCCTCCCTTCCCTGATCCTGTCCATGAGTTTTGTTACATTAATTTCCTCCAGACCAGATTTGCAGCTAAGCTGTATGATGTTAATAAAGAATGAAGCCAGTATACGTGAGAGAAAGCACTGAGTGCTCCCACTTGCTCTGCAGCAACTTCTCTGCTCTGAGGTGACAGACGAGGATGCCCTTGGAAAGCACCCTCTGAAACTCTGGTTGCACAGTGGGCTGTAGAGTAGAGGTTAATGCAGTCAGAAAGATTGATGGCTTTCACCGAAGAGACTCTTTAAAGTACCTTCCCACACACATTCCTGGTTATATCACAGTGAATTTAACTTGTGACTCTATATAAGTAACTAAGAATAATAGAGTCTGATTTACTGCTGTTTCACTCTAACTCTGGACTCAATTGAGTTACACAGGAATAAAATTCAATAGTGAAGAAATCCATATTATGTGCCTACCAGTATAAGTCATTTCCCAAGAAAACAAAAGCATTCCCAATATGATCTCTATAAACAAAACAAAACAAAAACCAACCAAACAAACAAATCCCCAAAATCCAAAACAAAAAAAATCACCAAAACAAACAGAAAAATGAGTTTTCCTTATGACAATTGTTATACATGCAGAGATACATTTTAAACTGTTTCTCCCCTACTGCATAGATCCTACTGTACACAAACCATGAAGTAACTCCTGTACATGGATAATGTATCAGAAAGAGAGATTGCAGACCTATTTCCAATCCTTATCTGTTTAAAGATTTCCACCCAGGAAAAAGCAAACATAGCCAAGCTCCTTCTCCTGGCAGTACCCATCATACTGACCTTAAGCAGATTATGGTAATTAAGACAGAAATTGCAGGAACTTGCCTTCTAATTAAAATGGAAATGGAATTTACAAAACAAATATCTAACAAACTCTGCTTTCTCCTATACTGAAAACAAACCTCCAAAAACCAACAAAAAAAATCCAATAAAAGTATTGCCAGATGCTATTTTGTGCTGACATCATGAGCAGGGAGGGTGAGCCCCTTCATGCTCTTTATCAGCAATGGACAGGCTGAAGAGCAACAAGCCGCTCTCCACCTGGAAGAGAGCTTAGCCAGGGACTAATGGCTTCTGCCTTTCTTTGAAATTGCAGTGTTTCTACTGGAAAGGTATTAAATGCTGCCTCATTTATAGGAACTGAGAGGAGAGAAAGCAACTGGCATTAACCTGAAAGGGTATTTTAAGCAATTGAACCAGTATGGAAGGAGCAAGAAGAGTGGAAGAAAGAGACGCTGGAACAGTGGGAAATACACAGAAAAGAAATCCAGTAATGAGCTGAAGCAAAGCTGTGAGCTAGGAGGGGTACTGTGTGTCCTGATAAAATATGTGTGACACTGCAGATGCTGTACTTTGTCCTTGGATTCTTGAAGATGCCAATAATGCAGGGATTTGAAAAAACTGCGTCTTTACTTTGTGTTTCCTGCTACAAGAGGAGCAGAAATCTGGCTCTTAACCACCCTGGTGACAATCACTGCTGTTTTTCAAATGTAGAGGAGACATAAGGTTATGTCTTTGGGGATGCAGGAAGAGCAAGGAAAATTGAAAAGCAAGGCCTGCACATGCAAGCAGCTG